AAAGCCTAAGTACACACATGTGTTTTGATTAAAAAAAGAAAGTGTTGAAAAAACAGAATTAGAGATTAGGTGACATAAAATCAATGTTGTTAACATGTTACTCATGAGCTGGATACTATAAAGTGACATAGCAAAAATATATTTACGTCCTAATTGATTGAAGAATGAAAGACCTGCGAAATCGGTATTATCCAACCCTTTATGACCTCTAATCACATGATTCTTAGTACGTATTACTTTTTGTGTAAGTATATTATTTCATTAAAGAAAAAATTCATTCTACTAAGTATTAGTCTTGTCTTCGATATCAGTTCATTTGCCAGTATGAGTTAATTATCCGGTTGTATAAGTAGTAACTACTTCCTTAATTAGTATCATCGCGTTCATCTATCGATTAGCGTTCTATTCATTCTAATAATCTAAAACTATTTCAATGTTCAATATTAAGCCTACCATTAACAAGAATCAAAATCAACTGTAACTTTGTGTTTTAAATTATGACGCTACTATTATTAGGTTGTAAGCAGAGATGGATGGTGGCTAGCAAATGAAATTTATGGCTAACATTTCCCCTTATTTGGAACTCGTCAGCTGGATGTACCTGCACCGCAGAGTTGAAGTTCACTCTCGAACTCAAAGAAAATATCGTTCGCTTTGAATGCCATCGAGTTACCCCACTTAGCTACTGAGTTCAGATAGCCACTGGCTTGTGCAATGAAGTGAAGTTTAATTCATTTGTACTGGTTGTTCAAATCTTCGGATCGATGTTTAGAACTGCAACTGATAAGTCAATGCAATCCGTACAAGTTGCATACATGCCAGAAAGAGACCAATCAACTGGAGTCCTAAACATCAATGGGAAGACTCAAACTACCAATACAAATGAACTATTACTAGGTTGTTACTAATTTGACAAATAATATAAGGATTTGAATTTGTGTAATTGTGCTAGAAAATAAAACACTTAGAGTATTCTTCAACTGAAATATTACTAAAGAACTGAGTTAATAAATAAATATTGAGTAATTAAAAATCATATGGATAAAAAATATGGTCAAAAAAGCATGAACATTTCACTAGTTTCAATAGATCTGCTTTCCAAAATCTCTGATAGTCAAGTAGAAAACTGTTAGTTCACATGAAATGAAGTATTGTTTATGGTCAGTCCGTTATACGAAAGTGTATTTAACTGATAAACTTTAATTGTTGTCACAACCTATATATTAACAAAATAAAGGAGGAAATTAGGAATCAATCAACCAACCACAGCCTATCTTGACTGGCGATGTCATCAGGAAGAAAGCTAGGAGTAAGCCAAGTCAAGACGTTGCATCAATCCATAAAGAAAGCGATTGTTGGAGTGAGATATGTAGATAGATACAAACTACCTGGTTAGGATGTGTGCGATTATCATGACCCATTGTTATATACTTTAGATGACAAGACCCAGAATTGTTCGTATTGGCGCAACAGGTGAAGCAAAGATTGCCAGGTTGGACTTAATTCATAATATATACTGTCCCTTGAGGTTGTAAATATTCATTGATTAAGGTTGATAAACTGTGTATTACGTATCACCAACTGTCGCAAAAACACCTCAACGACCGATGTTGGTAGGAGTAGAGAATTATTAATTCTAAAGAAGACTAGGAACGTCCAAAGCAAAACGTGACAACAGTCCATGAAGTGATTGGTTGTTATTCTGCGCACTGTCGATAGGTCCAGACTGGCAATATTTGAAGTCGTTGGAGAAAATGTCTTAGAATCAGTTAAAATAGCATATATCCATTCATTTTTTGTCTTCCCTTAGATTTTTGAGTTTTAAAATCACTTTATAATTTTCATTCCATGGATTCATTCTTTGTGAACTATATCCAATATATCCAATTGTTTTGCTATCACTGATACTATGCCTACTCCTACCACTTTGTTGATATCTCGATATTATCACCTCTTATTGTGCTGAAATGCTCTGATAACTTGGATTGATGAACATGTTCTAGGTTCTACGTTGCTGATTGATTGACTGGCTACCTTCCATTCCAGCAGTCTCTAAAGCAAAAGGTCTTCAGATCCAGTGATTAAAAACTTCCATTACTGTAATCACTAAATAAAACTACCTGTTAAACGAATTAGTCCCTTGTATAAATTTCGATAGAACAATGAGATCAGATCAACTCCGTCTTCTTACTGTTCTATCAAAACTATTAATTAGTAAGAAAAATTTACACCTGAATTTCTCAGCTTAATAAAAATCAGCTATGGCATTTTAATCAGAACAATCAGTGCTGTATACGATTAATATACATTCTAACAATTAAATGTTCCTAGCACGCTTACAGTAACGAAGAAAATCAAACTAATTAATCCGTTGAACGTTAATGTGTAACTGTATAATTCAAAGGACAACTGCTTGAAGGCGAGAAGTTTTTGATGTGTTAGCTCCGCACTTCAGAAGGCATTACCACCGGGGGTGACGGAAATCTGTACGGTAGGGTGAGTTCTGACATTCTTCAGGGTCGATCTTTTCTAATCCCTTCTTTCCGTCGACAAAAGGCACCATCGTTGCAGATGCCGTTTTCCTAAGAAAAGTATCTTACCGATGTCATACCCTATACAGTCAGCAGTACAACTTAGCTATCGGACCTCAAGTTGCTGCTTCTAGTCTAAACGTTCTCTAACCGACCTACATGGCACGGTAGAACCTAGATGAACATGTGTTCCAGACAATATAACTCAATAGAGTCATTAAGAAAGGTGAGTCCAACCACTACGTCGAGATAACAGCTACGGTTGGGTAGTACCCGGTAAACGTTATTATTATTGACATATGTGTATTCTGAACAGATCGTCTGGATACTGTCATGTACCACTAAGTTTTTACTAAAATTGAACAGTTAATACTATTAGAATCGATCATCTGATCAACAACAGTAAAATAGAAATCGTCACAAACGAACCTTATCAGTTGCACAAGCTGGTAGCTATCTGCATTTGGTATCTCAGTGGATAATGACTGGGCATTTGAAGAGGAAGGCACTTGGTTCTAGTCTCGGTGTGAACATCAACAACACTAGAACGTATGTATATTCAGGTGTGACGAATTTCAAACGGGATAAAACATTTCCTGGATTTTGACGATAGCTACTATCTGATTTGAGTTAAAGTAACCCTAATTTTAATATAATTTGAGTAGAGGTTAACGTGAGAATCTAATGTATCTGTTCAATCCCATATGGAATTAATCAGTTAAATGAATTTTCGTCTGTGTTTATACTCATGGTACAACTTCAATGCTAGTAGTTTCCAACACTAGAATATTGTTTACTACGTGGGTTATATATAAATATATATGGAATAATTAACCTGACAATTCGATAAATTTATTGCACATAGATCCAAGAATGTTCGACACAATCTTAAGAATATCAGTATGCTGCTTATGTTATAATCAATGCTTTTCGACGGCATCGCCCTTTCTTTGCCTTTTTTTATTGAACTCAACGTGTGCACTCATATTTCATTGATCCTATCATGTTTCAGAGAATAGATTAATTGTGGTTAGCAGTGAAATTAGGGAAGCGTGTTTTATCTTATTTGAGAATCATCATAGCTGAATGTACCAGCCATATCCCGGTGTCAATATCTACAGTGAGACTCAAACCGAACATCTTCCAATTCAAACGCCTAACGCGTTATCCATTGAGCTAGTGAACCAAAATAGCAGCCAAATTGTTCAATGAGTATGGTGTTTATGTCATTATTACTAAAGGTTTAAATTAACCCGTTGTCGCTATTCAGGACTGGATTTCGACCAGTCTTTGTGGTCACATATGTATCATCTGTGGATTGCCTCGATATAACGATCTTATCCGTTTTATAGTTTTTCATCACTGAAAGAACATTATCACATCATTTAGGATAAAAACTCACTTTACCATACTGATAACAGAATTCCGCCTTGTCTAGTACAGGTGCACACATAAAAACTGACTCATATTCTTTGAATATGGATATTGTGTCTTCAAATCTTGATTGTGTTATCTCATTCTTGTTTTTATTCAATTCACAAGACTCCATAATCATTGAATGAATATTGTCAGGTTTCATCCAAACTTCGCTTGCTGAATCGTCTAATATACCAAATTTATCAGCCCATTCATTTAAAAATTTATTTTTTAACTCATATAAACCATCAACACTACATTTAATTTTTTTCAAAATACTTTCATCCCATTGAAGATGATTTTGTTGTACCTTTGGTAGTGCTTCAAGTTGTATCATAGAAATCTAACAATAAGTAGACAAAAAAGGCTAAACTGAACAAACTGTGAAAATTATTAAGGACACTGAACAAATGATCGCCATCTTATAAATCATACTATTTTCGTAACTAAAATCATTATGTTCAAAAAAGAAAAATTATAAAATTGTCACGATAGATTTTAAAAGTGTAATATTCATACCAAAAGATCTACAGAAAGTATTGGCTAAAATTATAATTTAGCGACAAGATCTCAACAATTATCAAAAATCCTGTGTACGCATTACACGATTAAACAGAACCATGCATTAGTTGAACACCTAATCAAAAATGGCTTAAATCGATCTCAGGAAATTTTATTCTGAAGGTGATTTTTGTCCAAAAAATGAATCCTTAGATTGAGAGTGAGTGATTAGCAAGCCACAACTTTTAATTAATCACAACTACTAAAGTTCAAACAATAATTAAACAGCACCGTGTTTAAAAAAACTCACACCCCATATGAGAAATTAGTAAAGAAAGAAAGAAGTATATTTAATCCATTTTTTATTTCAACAAAATAGAATCAGGCATAAACAAATTAATCAATTAATGGAAATAAAGATTATTTACGAATTACCAAACCGTTTAATATTTTCAGCTATCTGGGTTGACCATAATTTAACAATATCTCTTCGTTTACTTTTAAGATCATCAAATTCTTTTTCTATTGTGTGAAAAGTTAACCCAGCTTGTGTTAACAAAGTTTCATTGGGTAAATGTTTGTGTTTAGTAGGTGTTGTCTTAATATATTCTTCGTACAAAAATGCAGTTTCTAATGAATTTTGTAGAATATTTACAGAAGAACGTACAATTATTTCCATACTATCAAGTTTATGAGTAAGTATAGACCATTGTGAACGTAGCTCTAATAATAATTCATCATTTTGCTCGTCTGAATTCATATAAGATAATTGTAATTCACCATATCGAATAGCAATTTCCTCTAAATTAATTAAAAGTGTATGAAATTCTTTAAGAAGTTGATTTATAAAACTGATTGTAGAGTCTATTTGTAATTGTAATGAAGATAATAAGGGATATTCAATATACTGATAATTCGTCATTATAGTTTCAGTAGAAATATGAGATAATTTTATCGGATACATAAAGTAACAGGTTGTTGCGCTGAGTGTCCCATATTTTCGTGTTATGCGATAAAGCAATGGACGGAGAAAAAACCTGAAAAATTTACGTCCCAACATGGTATTTCTGAGAACTAGGTTGAAAAACACAAAAGATAAAGAAATCGGTGATATCTTTAAGGATGTATCACGACTTGAATATGACTATACAAATGCTTTATATGTTCAAACAGTCAGATGAAATAAGATTTTACAATTTCATGTACACCTGCACAAAATTAATGCAGATTACAGACAATAAACGATGCCGACAACAAGTAACACAGTGTAGGCCTGTATCTGTTGACTGCAACAACCCAACCCAATCTTGGAGATAAGCTATAGCGAACATTCCGGAAGTTGTCATCCCTGCGAAGCTGTGAACACGGAAGTTTCTTAGATCAATTTAAGTGTAGTGAAAAAGATGGATTTCTGTTAGTTAAGTACCGTCATGGTGCGAAATTAATAAAAAGGCAGGGGTCCAGTTTTGTGGCCAAAGTTCTGCTTTACCTTTACCGAAAATGGTCTCACTGAACTGAGCAGATTTGAGAACCAACAGTTTACACCCGAAGTTGTTTCCACAATATTGCTCATATCTAAAGGTGACTAATCAATTCTGAGGTTTGAAGAATTGTCGACCAAAGTTGAAATTAGCGTCTAGTCAGATACTTGAGAGAATCGAATTCTTAGGCTTAACAGAAATTGCATATTTCTTGTCCAGTATTATCAAAAGATGCTGAAAATCGATATTAAACTCAGAAACGTGGTCTGTTTTTGATAAAGTGTCTAGGAGTGGACAGTTTTGCTCACTGAACACGCATTGATATATTATGAGTAAAGCCACATTATAAAGATAATCCAACTTACTGTCTTGAACCTTTATTAGATGTGGTAGGGGAAACATGTCGGTGGTGACTACATTGTAATTCTCAATTGTATGTAGGACATTTTCATGAAACAACTGCAATCTCACTTTGATAAGTAAGCGATACTAACATAGTGGTTAGTTAGTAAAGGCATTCACCTTCAAACTGAAAGACTGTGGTTTGGATTCCTCTATAACTGGGTAAGTTTTGAAATATCACCGAAGTAAAATGCCTGAATTTCTACTCAATAAACACATTCCGTAGACTCATCTCGATTCTTTTAAACTACTCACTATTGGTTATTAGATGTTTATGTATTTCATAGGTTATTTATTAATCACAGCTAAAACTTGGATGAAAATAGTTCAAAATTAGTCACACAAGCACACTGATTCATTATTTATCACCAAAAAATTAAGATCGAACTGTCTTCTGAAGAGTTAATACTGTAGTTTTCCGTTAAATTTCTCTGTAATTGAGAACAATGAAATCTCATTTAATGCAATTTTGAAAAAGGTTCAGTGAAACTTTGCGTAGGTAAAACCCCATAGATCATAGAAGCGAAGGTCCCAGAAAAGCCCAATACCTCAAGGCACATTCAAATAACGGCCTATTCTAAAATCACCGAAATCTTCAAAAAATTTCTAGTGGTCACCGTTACTAAGTTTCAAGTTGAAGTAACGCACCATCCAAAGAACGTTCACAATCAGAAACAAAAAACAAAACGATGATATATCACAAAAACAAAAGTAAAGTCAAATTCCGTTGACCTATTTCTATTCCACAAAATGATTTGAGATAATCCTTAATTATACAATTTTTATGCGAAATGTCCGAAAAAAGCCATCTTTTCACAGGTTTTGAATTTATAAGAATTTGAGTGGGATATTATCTTGTGTTTTAACATTTATCATAAATTGTGTTTTCTTCGTTAGATATCATTCCGAAATTGTTCGATTTATTTGCATTCTTAGTTCGATTCTCTGTATTTACTAACAAAAGATTTCCTTACTCCCAACAACTCAGGTATTTCAATATACATTTTTTCAATTCCTTGTGAGAACCACGTATATATATGCTAAATAAAAAGTGTCAGTCGCTAAAGACATTCATACGGTATGTCACAGGAGCATTGTTGGCAATTCCTTGCCACGAGGTACAGCAACTCCTTAAAATCTCCGTAAAAGTATTACAGCCTCATTATGTAAGCGATTTACCTGGTGATAAATCCTCTAAAATTTTACATTTATAAAAAAAGACCCTTCTGTTAGTTCTGTGCCTATTTTGAACGACAAGTCTATAAATATTTGAGTAGTGATGACATATTTTCAGTGAGTGTATAATTTATGGATGACCTTTGAGCGAAGCTAAAGAGACCTTGAGAATTTCCACACACATACTACGGCTAAATGAGGGTTACAAACCAGCTAGAGGAATTACGATCATTATTTACAGTTGACAATTAAGGCTAAAAATCAGATATAGATTTTCATCATGAAATGACATCAGGTAAAATGTCAAGACACTATTTAATCGAGTAAATGAACTCCGCGCAAAAATTCAAGATCTGACGTTGAAAGTATAATTGGTTCGTCCATAAATTATAGTCCGGCCATTAATTTCTACTCTATTTATTCAACCAGCTGTAATCATGTTACTCAAAGTCAAGACCACAAACACTAACGCTTGGGTGATGAACAAACTTTCGAAGCAGATTACAAGTCTCTTGCTACTGCAATATTCAGCTTGGATTTGAATACAAACCTGAGGTTTCTTATCCCGTTCAAATTAAAGAGATACGACTCAATACTTTTGACAAAAAAAAGAATCCGATAAAGAATCCCACAAATCCAAAGCTGTAAGCTATGGACAAACTGATGCAGATCAATCTTTGGCTAAACTTCTAACTCCATGTATTTCCTCCACAAGAAGGTCTCGTAGACAATAGGGCGTAAAACTAAATAATATCTAGCAAAAAGAGTTGAATCTTGGTTTACAGTTGGAGATAAAACTTTTTCATCTAAATTGACAAAGCAAAGGCATGATCGGTTAGGCAGTCATTCAGGTAGTATGTCGTCTCGTATGTATGCGATTTAAAATGTCTAAATATAGTCCAAAAATTCTTTAAACTAACAGACAAGTCTGCGAACGTTAATTTGACTCGCCGTACTGACAAACAACATAACGTGCGAGATTGACTTCATGCGATCAGCTGAATAACCGAACAAGTTACGAAGTTCCCAGCACAGGAAACTTCATCTTGTTACCAAAAACCAGGATATTTTGAGCAACATTAGACATGTTGTGGTACTTAAACTCAACCACACGATCGCTGAAGTCAAACATAAAATTATATGAAAGATTTACATTCAACTTTTAAAACTTAGATAAGGTTGGAGACAACTAATTCGGAATGGTATGTCTCGGTTGTACATGCGTGGTCAGTCTCACAAAATAATTACTATTATTCATGAAGAGCCATTTGGTACATTATTGTTTTGAAGAAACCATTTTGGTTTTCTGAACAGATACAATTATACGCAAGTTTTAGTGATGTTTAGATAATATTCGCCATATTCGAACAGGTTCTGTAGTATATGGAAGAATATTAGGTTGACTTTAAGGAAAAAAGCAAAGAAATGAAGCTGAAATGTGTAAATAATTTGATAAGTATGTTTGCCAAACAGAATGAGACTGAACGTTGATGTATGTCTACGAAATGAATTGTGTGGCAGGATTTGATGTCAGAATACGAGTTTATACAGCAATAGTAAGAGCGATATGACATATGATATAAGTTTTCCTCATATTGATAATAAATCATTCTTTTTCCAGGATAAGTATGTTCTGCAGAAGTATTAAACGGAATATTGCTAAGTCTAGATAGGATGAATCAGTCTAGACATTGATGCGACTTACATGTCAAATCATTTAAATATGGCAGTTACATCGTCAGAGATCTAAATTTTGGAATGGGTTTATTATTCCAGTGGCACAGCCAAACTTAGTTAATACTGATGTACAAAATCTCGTGATATCATGCACCCCAAAATAACCAGAATAGGTTTGATGTAAGAAAAAATCGTATCCCACTACACACACGAGAGAACTTGAAGTTTCCTATGGCTAAAAATGCAATCAAACTTTCATATCCTCTTAAAATAGCCTCTATACAAAACCACCAAAGCTCAATCAACATCAAACATAATGCATTGTCCAGACCGTGTGTTTTCCAGTTCCAAGAGGTGGATGCTTTTCATTCATTCTCGTTCGATGACTTAAAATTATTTGTTGTTGCAGTCATTTCGATAGATATTCAGACAACCCAACTTCAAAATCACGATTATTATTACCCTTCATGTTTATTTGTCCACCTCTTCTATATCGTACATTCTACTGATAAGTGATTCATATCTTCTTTTCAACAACACAATGCTATCTGACACATTACTGAATGGCAGGGTGATATGGACAGAGAGCAAGTAGCATTGCAAACTTAAATATACTGTGGTGCTCTCATTGGTACATTAATTTTAAAAGACATATATTGTCCACCAATGTTACGTCCGGTAATTTCACTTCAATATATGCCTCTATCTTTCAATGAACCAAAGTTTATCAGATTTTATACGTGGGTGTTAGACTGTGGATATTGTAAAGGTAAATAACAATGACTAGTTCTGTAAGCCTTTGACATTTGTGTTGACCTCACTTAAAGAATAGCTACAACACCAGATTTTCGAATCATACATTCATCTTAAATTTATCGTCTTTCTCGTGGAACAGCTTTAATAAGTGCACACATCAGAACGTATAAGTACTAGGACTACTATCATTGTTATTATTACAGTTATTATTATGGACCCTGATCGCTTCCGTCTACTTATTACTCGCAGTCTTCTATTTATTTGCATCCTTTGTGTGAACTGTTAAATATCTCACCCTAATTTTCGTCTTCTCTTTGAACATTTACATTCTTGTGTTATGATTTCTCATATTACAAGTAATCAACCTACTTCATGATATTGGGATAAGTTCTGAACCTATCAACTTCTATGCCCTCCAACAAACACGTTCATTTACACCCGATAAACACTAACCTTTAATTAAATTTCGAATTCAAGGGGATTAGTGCAGAAAAACGGCTAGATTGCCCACATTGGTCATCAAAAGATTAAAATCCATGAATAACTACAAAACTGTCAAGAACTAGTACAGTCAAGTGACCAGAATTCCACCAAATTGACATCACCAAATATTTGGAACCGTATCGCGATGTCAAAAAACGAGTACAAAGAAACTAATAGGTATATTTTAGCTCGTTACAGAGTTATTGTTCATTGTATTTAACTTAATGATTTTGACTAGTGTGTGTAATAGGTTGAGCATTGAAATTCTATATGGTTCAAGCATATGAAAGGTGCGTTACATAGCTTATACACATTTTCTTTCCTACAGTTAGGTGAGCTTTCTGTAAAAATCTAACTGCAAGTGTACTATGTATTTAGTAGTTTTAGGTTTTTAGAGCGTATTGTTGCTCAAGTTCAATCGTGGATGAACACTGCGATTGGTGATAAACAGACGGCAGTGGAGAGAAACTGACATTCCACGTTTATTCACAATTTGTTTCTCTCTATTTCACTTGTGTTCGCCTTCACCTCCCCTTTTTCTGTGCTTGAGTAAGTGATACATGATCGACTTTTCACTGGCAATCTTACTCTTAGCTATGTGAAGAAATTGGATTTTGTAATTGAATGTCATAGTCCCTAAATTCAATCCTGTCAGTAACTATGTGGTTCGTTTGTAGAACTTTTTCTGTTCTATTCACAAAGATTGCTAAGGATGCGCCACAATCCTGTTTGTCAATAGTAGTTTCAGCGACAAGTACTGTACAAATGGTTGTATGACTTTAGTAAATAGTCGCATAAAAAGATATCCTCTTGCTCAAAGAGCTCTTGTCTATTTTTTTTAAGTGTTTGGTTATTTGTCTTGACTTTCGCTATGTATTCGTGCCCCGAAAATCTGTCAATTGCTCCGG